CCAGCTGAGGCAGAGAACTAGCTAAGGCAGCTGCACCCTGGTCGGACCATCAGAGAACAAGAAAGGCGAGACTCACTGAGCCATTTATCTCTCCGCCCTTCAATGAATCCCACATGTGCTTATAGGCCAGGTTGGCACAATAAACCTTAACTATCACACCCTCCAACACTGACCGAGGACCCAGGCCCAGCCCTTAGTCCCCTTCCCTACCCTACACTATTTCCTTCGTGGCTGTAGACGCCGAGCGCAACCTGATGTCTATTCCGGCCCACATTTCCTCCCCTCAACTCCAATCACCTACTCCCCATGGATACCTCAAAGCTCCATTGTCCTAATCGGAGCCTAGGACTCCCCCTCCCGACAAAGCCAGCTCCTTCTCGATTTCTCCTATTTCAGTGGATAGCAATTTAGACCCCAAGCCTAGGAGTGGCTGGGAAGTGGAAGGAGGTGTGCTCTCACCTCCTGTTGACTCCATCAGCAAAACGCTAGCGGTTCCACGGCAACCGAGACTCAGAAACCGACTCCTCACCAGCTCTACTCCGACCACGTGGGCTTCAAATCCACATCACTCCCATGCCAGCAGACTAGGTTCTGGCTCTACCGGCCTCCTGCTAGTCCCCCTGCTGGCACGACTGCCCCCTCGGGTGTCTTCTCATGTTAGTTATGTCAGCTCTTACGGTTCATCCAAACACCATGCTCCACTGCCTTCTGAGCACACGTCGTGCACAAGCCCCAAACCTTAGCAGACCCGAAAGGCCCTAGCAACTGGCTTCCTTCTCATCATCCACCAACTGGTCCCTCGCTCGGTGGCATCCACTCCCAGGCCCCGCCTCAGACGTGCCTGACACACTTGCTTCTCGGTCCCTTGCATTTGCTCCCTCCACCCCTGTCTTCCCATTTTCATGTCAATAACATCTCCGGGAAACCTTCTCTTCCCTTCCCGATCTATCCACTCAAGTTTAATGGACACTTCGGCTAAGTCTGCTCCACCTTCCATTCTATGATCTCACTCCGAATCTCTTTCTCTCTCGGGCATCGGAGGGTGGTGTTTCCACCGGCCTGTCACATGGCTCCATTCTCAGGGCTTGTAAAAGTGGCCAGCGGGTGGTCAGTAAATATTTGTTGAGTGGCTAAGTGAAATGGAGGTGGGCGTGAGAGAAGCCAGGGCCCCCCAGGGATCTGGCCGGCAGG